AAAAGCCAAAGCAAGAAGACTGATGCACCTCAGCACTCTCAGTCAATCTACAAGAATGTTAATGTGACCTTTGCAACCTTTCCATTAGGTCATTTTTGCCTTCATGCAACAGAAGCCCAGCACTGCAATAGATAGCCTGCAACACACACACACACACACACAGCACAAAGAAAACCATAGATGCTGGCTGTGGTACATGTCATAGCCCTCATTTTAGAGCCTTTTCATCTGGCTGGGTGGAGAGGAGAGGAGAGGAGAGGAGAGGAGAGGAGAGAAGAGAAGAGAAGAGAAGAGAAGAGAAGAGAAGAGAAGGACACACTCATTGCCTCAGGGACCATCTCTCCCTGTATGAACCAACCCAGACCCTGCAACCTTAATCTGAGCCCTTCTTCATGTGCTTCCTATGTGAGAGGTCTGGAGGGCAGCAACACGGGAATGGGCCTTAAAAAAAAAAATTATTAAAGATTTTAAACAATACATCAGCCAACACATAAAACACCATCACCAACATGAAAAAAAGAAAAAGAAAAAAAGAAAAGAAAAGGACTTCCTCACATCCCCCTTTCCTGCGTTCCCATTTATAAAATTATATTCAGCAGTACTTCACCTTCTTTCAAGTCTTATTTTGTAATTTTCAGAATGGGCCTTTTATGGCTCCCCATTTGTGGAATGCTCTCACCAGGGAGACTCACTTGGCGCCTTCATTGCATATATTTAGTTGCCAGGCACAAACATTGCTCTTCTCCCAGGCTTATTAAACCATCTATGACCTTTTAAACTGGGGTTGGGGTTGGGTTGTTGTTGTTTGTGGCATGTTGCTACGTTATGTATTTTTGTGCTTTTATATTGTAAATGGCACTGTGCTCTTTGAATGAAGGGTGCTCTAGGAATTTAATTAATTAATTAATTAATAATTGCAGTTGAAGTGGGTGAAGAAGAGCAGGCACAGAGAGAGAGAGATGGCAAAAAGCTAAAGAGGACTATGTAGGTCAACAATATGTGCATAATGTTCTTGTAGGAGGAATTTTCTTATGGCTGCAGCAGGATTTTTCACGTGCCACACCCGCTCTTGATAATACACCCACTCTTTCAGCAGGGCTGCTGTGAAAAAGCACATCCAGCAATATTTCTATCTCCAGACAAAAATTAAAAGAAAATGTTAGCATCTTATTTGAAATTCCAGAGTGTGTCAATGCTTCCTGCATCCAGATCATGTTCAGTGAAGAATGGGGCGTGTGATAAAAGGAACTTCGTTTTCTGACATGATGTTTGGCTCAAGCAGCCAAAAAGACATTCTCTCTTTCACCTGCTGACTCTAATTTATAATTTAAACTCAATTTAGGCAGAAGACAAGTCATTCTTTTACAGGAGGCTTCCTCAAACTTGGCCGCCGGATGTTTTTGGCCCACAACTCCCATGATCCCTAGCTAGCAGGACCAGTGGTCAGGGATGATGGGAATTGTAGTCTCAAAACATCTGGAGGGCTGAGTTTGAGGAAGCCTGTTTTACAGGGACACACTGCCCAACTACTTTAGTAACTTAGAGCCAGCACAACTTCGCCCTTGCATTTGTGGAGCTTATGGATCCCAAAGGCTTGTACCATACCATGCCAGGGCACATTTCATGCGGCTCCTAGTGGAGAAATGGATCATGTTGTTAGAGCTGAATAGGGGGCACTTGTCCATCCTACCACAAAAGGAAACATGGGCATTCCAACATGCTCTGCTGCATATGGGGATGAGGGAGGGACAATCCAGGCATACTAGTGGATACCTAGTTTCACTGTGGACACCACACATTCACTGTTTCAGAGTGCAGTCCTGATCCACTCAGACCCAAACTTCATGCTAGGTGGAGAAACACAGATGCTGCTGACCTGCATTTGCTCTGCCATGAAGTTGTGGAGTTTATGGGCAGGGGGAAGCAGTGGTGTAGTGTGGGTTGCCAGTGCCCGGGGCCATGGGGTGGGAGGGAAATGGACAGAGCACGCATGCACATTCAACTGCCTAATGGTGTCTGCAGAAGAGTCGTTCCATTGTCTGGAGAGGTCACCTCCTGGTTTGCATGGAGAAGCCGTTTTCAACAGAGCCAGCGACAGAAGCACGCAACACTAGGTGCTGAAATTCTGCACCCAGGACAACTGCCCCTGTGGTCTCCTCATGCTACTCCCATTGAGGGGAAGCAAGATCTGACATCCTCACATTTCCCCGAACTCTGCAAGCAGCAACCAATACAGCTATTGGGTAGGCCACAGCAACCAATACAGCTGTTGGGTAGGCCACAGACTCTGGCAGCTGATCTGACCAAGTCCCTAAATGTGCCAACAGATTCTGATTTATTCTGGAATCAGGCGACAATAGGGATGCTTTTCTGTGCTGTCAATACACATGGATGGCACAATATAAATAATAATAACAATTATAATAGTAGTAGTAGTAGTAGTAATAATAATAATGATAAAAGTTACCCACCCCTAGTGTGCAAACATACTGAGAATCACTTTCCAGCAAGAAAACCTGGGAATGAAGAAATAGCCAGTTCTACCTGGGATGCTGCACAAACTACTTTCCCCATTATAAATATCAGCAGTAAATAAATTGCTGCTACAGACACACCCTTTCAGGAACGGGCAACCTGTGGCTCTCTACATGCTGTTTGACACAATTTTCATTATCCCGGACTCTTGGCTGTGCTGGGTTTGGTGGCAGCTGAAGTCCAGCACCATCTGAAGGATCGCAGGCTCCTCACCTCTGCTCTCTTCCTTTGCCTATAAGGTTATTAAATGCCTACCTATATTTTATTCTAGAAAGAGTCCATTTGTTACAGATCTGTCTATCTCTCAACAAAGTATCTTTGCACAGGACTCAGGATTCTTTTAACTGAACAAGAGGATGGTCAGAAATGAAAATACCCTCTACCAGGAATTTTTGTTGGCATCCATCTTTCTCAAAGATAATGGATTGTGCCTCTGGGGGCAAAGTCAAACCAGGAATTGTGGGCGCATATATATGAGAGCATCAACCTTGAATGTATAGCAGTGAGGAGCATTCAGCTCAGAAACTAGGTCTTGGAAGTCAGCAGTGATGGAAGGCAGGAAGTTCAGAAAGGAAAGGGAGGATCCTGCTGGGTGCCCAATTCACACCATTGTGTTTTCTTCCCTCTTCACAATGGTGTGAGCTGGAACAGGGTGCAGTGGCCCTCCTTTTGGATTTCCTGCTTTTTTGTTGCTGCTGGTCTTGTGTTGCATCCTTAACGCTGTCTTTGTTTGGAAAAAGTCAGTTTTCAGTCTAAAGTAGGCAAGAAAAGAGTGTGTGCTGTCCCAGAAGTGTATGCCCAGACTCTTTGGCTGGTTCCCACAGCTCAGGCGCTGGGGCTGCCGAGAGCAGAAAAGGCACTCATGCTATTAAGATGCAAAATGGGCACAGAAGACCCTCACTCTGTCTTAGAAATGCCTTGCCCTAATTGTTAAAGGCCAAAAACATACAGCCACTGCATGTTAATTGCTCTTTTGGCTGGAGGATTAGCGGTTTTAACTGGGCAGCAAGAGAAGGAAACCTGGAATGGGTCACATCCACACCGTATATTTTGCACACCTTTAAAGCACATGGGTTCCCTCTTGGGAACTGTAGTTTATCTGCCACTGAGCTACAATTCCCAGTAACCTGAACAGTTCCCAGGATTCTTCGGGTCATGTCAACCTGCTACAAATCCACCTAGGAATATCATTGGGGACTTTGTCAAAAGTCTTACTGAAATTAAGATACACTATGTCCACAGCATTCCCCTGATCCACCACGCTTGTTACTCTATAAAATAAGAAATGAGCCTAGTCAGGCATGAATTGTTTTTGAGAAACCCATGCTGGGTCTTCGTAATCACAGCATCCTTTTCTAAGTGCTCATTGACTGTTTAATTATCTGTTCTAGGACCTTTCCTAGTACTGATGTCAAGCTGACTGGCTAGTAGCTACCTGGGTCTCCCCCCCCCATTTTTGAAGATAGGGACAACATTTGCCCCCCTCCAATCCACAGGGACCTCACCTGTTCTCCAAGAATTCTCAAAGATTTTAGACAGAGGTTCTAAGTTCCTATAGTACTCTTGGGTGTAGCTCATCAGGCCCTGGAGATTTGAATTTATTTAATGTAGCTAGGTATTCCCTTACTATCTCTTTTCCTATATTGGCCAGCAGCTCCCTCCTTGCATCATTTATTCTGCTATCACCAGGTTGGGCATTGCTTTCCCTTTGGGTGAAGACAGAGGCAAAGTAGGTATTGAGCAGTTTCACTGTTTTTTTCCTGCCACCCCAACAGCATTTCTCTGTCTTCTCCACACAAAGCACCTACCACTTGCTTGTTCTTCCTCTTGCTCTGAACATAGCCAAATAAACATTAATATATATATATATATTTGTAATATATATATTGTTCACACGAGCAGGGCCTCATCATTCTCAGATTTGTTCCTGTTCGTTTCTGCACTTTGGGGGTTGAAAGGACAGGGATGTCTCTATCCTATGCAAAGCTGTTCACACCTTGGCTAAAGACAAATTAGGAACTGCTTAAAGGGCTCCAGTTGGTGTGAAGTTGGAATAAGAAACAATGTGCAGAACAGCAGTATTTTGTACCAAAATACATATGCATTTGGGATAGCATTGTGTGACCACAGATTAGAAACTCAGCACTGGAAATGCAGTTAATGGGAGTGTAAACAAAGCCACTGTCTCTCTCTTACCTTACAGGGTTCTTGGAAAGATAAAAATAGGAAGGAGAAGAACCCTGTGTGTTACTCGGACCTCCTTGGAGGAACGCTGGTATGTAAACATTCATTAAATGTCATAAAACTCAAAACTATTTGACTTCATAAATGAAAGGCAAGGCAAAGGAATTAATAATCTGAACTGAGCCTCACCCTCACCTTTCAACACCAAAATGCATAGGCACACAACTGTATTCAATTTGAATCAGTATAAATTTTCTCTCTTAAAACCAATTGTACTCTTATTATTTTGTAAATAATGTTTTAATTTAAATATTGTCAGGATTAGCAAAATGACTGATTTTCTCTTCCCCCCCCTCATGGCAGTTTGCTAACAGAAATACAGCCCCCCTCCCCAAACTGGGATTAACAAGAAGGACAATGACAACAAACAAACAAACCCCTCCGTCCTCTTTCGCTGGCATTTTACAGACGGAGAGCTGGCTGCCCTCCAGGATCTGACACAATGTCTGGAGTCCCCAGAGCAGCTGGAATTCATTTTCTCCCTTCAAATCTATGCAATTTCATATGAAACTACAGTTTGGCTGCATAGCCAAGTACTTCTGGGAGTGTACAGTGCAAGAACACACACACACACACACACACACACACACACCCCTCTGCTCTTTCTTCCTTACTCCACACTTGCTGAGCAAGGAAGTTCCGACTGCCACTCACCTCCCCCCACCCCAAACAACTGTACAAAATGGAATCATTCATGACTGTATAGAAACGGGCTGTGCCCAGAAATGTGTGCAAGTATAACCGAGAACACTGTGTCTCCATTACAAAACAAAAGATTGCCGAGATGGTGAATATTCACAAATACTCCCAAGTCCTAGTAGTTTGCCCCCTGCTTTGGGGGCACTTTCTTTTCTTCCTTTTCCTTTTTTTTATAAAACCACCCTGTGCCGTTTGTCAAGCAGCCTTTTGGCTGAGCTTCAAAAATGCCTTTGAGGTTCTGCTCCCTGTCGAGTCCTTCCGTGCAAGGATTGCTGTTCTCGAAACATTACGTTGCAGTTAGGTGGCACAGGGCTTCAAGGCTGGATTCTTCCCTCCTGCTTCCTCCTTTTGGGTTTCAAATTAGGTTCAAGTTGGAATGGATTGAGAGAAAGATGGGAGAGACAGTCACAAAATCACACACTGCAGTTTGTGGGAGGTGGTTGCTCGGTCCCCACGCCACTTGGTCTTCCTCTTCTTCTTCTGACTTTTCTCTGGGACCTGTTGCCTGGACAGAAAAGAAAAGAAACAGGCTTTCAGGACATAAGGATTTCTTTCCCAAAAAGTAACATGTGTTTGGATCTGCGCCATTGGCATAGCAATTGGGTGTGGGTTTAGATCAGTGAATTGTAAGTTTCTTTGAGTTTACAGTTGATCAAAAAGACTCATTGGTCCTAATGATGATGATGATAAGAAGAAGAAGAAGAAGTGGTGAATGTAGAAAAAGATAAGCAACTCACACATCCCTCCTGCTTCCCTGATCTCTCTTGAAGAAGGGTACATACAGATCATATATTTAACGAATACTTCCAACTCCCCCACCCTAAGAATCCTGGGAATGGTAGTTTGCTAAAGATGCTGGGCGCTGTAGTTCTGTGAGATGTAAACTACAGCTCCCAGGGATTCTTTGTTTGAAGGGGCAGAATGTGCCTTGAATGCACTTTAGATGTATGGTGTGGTCACAGCTGAAGCTTCCCCCCTCTTTAAAAAAAGTGGTTGACAGGGTTTCGCTACGCATACCTGTATGTGTGTGTACATTGAGTTAGGTCTTGAGCTTTCTGAGCTGGAGTCAATTAACAGGGTGTGCAAACAGTAGGGCTCACACTAGTCCGATAGCACTTTTCTCCTCCTCCAAACCCACTCTGGAGGGTTAGGAGTGTGGGTAATTGCAGTCAAACATAACTATGCGTAAGTGCTATTTTGTGCATGAAGCGGTTAACAAAGAGAAGCCTCTTCCTAGACACGACTAGGTCATGCCCCCTTACCTCCATGAAGGAGGAAGTAAAGCTGCTTCTCTTCCTTTACTCTCCTTCTCTCTCTGTACCATGTAATCAATCAACGTTCAGACCACATGTCCGAAACTATATTGTGTATTTTGCACCCAAGAGCAATCTATCAGTGTTCTTCTTGCTGCAGCATGGAACAATGCTTGAATCAGACCTTTGGATTTAGTAAGTAAAGCTTTTAAACTTACTTAACAGGGTGTGGTGTGTTCATTGCTAGAGTGGTAGAGAGAGGGGGCAAGCATTTTAAGGGAGACTAAATGGGATATGCAAAAGGGTTTGACGACCTATATTCCACACTATGTTGTGGGTTAATTCTAATAGTGTTTTTAACTATGCTGGGGGCTCTCTCCCACTGGAGAGTGTGCAAAGCCCTGTGCTTTGAATCTAGACTCCAAGCCGATTCTTTTTGTTAATTACCCACACGTGGGTCAGATCTATTTTCCACCTCCACAAGGAGAACCCCCAGAACTGCACAGCGGGGGAGATCTTTCCATCTGGCAAGCAGAAATGCTTGAGCTGATGGAATGATCATAAGAGTGTGATGCTGAATTCTTTCCTCTGTCTCTAGCATTCCGAGGCCCTTCGAGCGAAGCAGACTTCCCTCCCTAACAGCTGGTACAGAGTTGTGCCCTGAAGGGAGAGCAGATTTTAATCATTATGCTAAGTGCTCTACTAATTAGAGCCTGACTGAACTGGGGAACTTGCTGTGGCTAAATTCGCTCAGTGTGAAAAGTGGGCATGGCTTGCTCTGTGCACTTGGTCTCTTGAAAAAGAAAAAAATTGTCATAGCATCTGCTTAATCCTTTGTATTTGAGCACCACCTTCTGACCCCAGCTATTTCACTCTCCCTCTCCCAAGGAACAGAGATGGATTTCTTAGAGTGAAAAAAAGAAGAGGATGGTGGATCAATCCCTTCTTCCCCTTCACTGTTTCTCCACTAGATCTCACAACCTTCTGAAGTGGCTTTGGATTTTTATTTTTATTTTAAAGTTGGTAGAAAGAGACACATGACCTGTATGCAATAGTGACTGTCCAATGGAGGAGCTACCCTCTCAACAGCTTACTTGAACTGGACTCGGGTGGGGCAGAGCAGTGGTTTGGGTGGGGCTGCATGGACATACCAACAGAGCCAATCTGGCATTCGTGGCCTGCAGCTCTCCATTCAGGTAAGCTGCAGCTACGCTGGGGTCAGGAGTTATGGGGTTGCCATAGTTATGCTGCACCACCCTTCCTGCTATTCTTTCGAAACCTGTTGTGAGCAGAGGTGTAAGAAACATGCAAGAAACCAAGGAGAACAGCAACTCGCTCACACTACTTTCATTTCCCTCAAAAACTATTTTCTGTCTCTAGTCCTGAACTTTGACAGCCGAGAAAATTCATGTCATAGAAAAGGTGTGTTCTTATAATAAAGGAGCTGGTAGTTTCATCTAGTGGCTGCAAGCCCACAGCATCTAATGTGGTGAGTTGAGAGATGGGCTCCTCTACCCAGCCCTAGTCTCAAGAACAAGAGACTGAATGTTGCTCCCCTCATCCTTGAACATTGGGCTGGGGTTGATGGAAGTTCAACAGCCTCTGGAGGGCTACAGGTTTCCCTTCTTTGCTTCACCCATTCCAAGGATGCCCTCTGTCGCTGATCTATAGCCCCCTCCATTTCCAGCTCAAGGTAGACCTTTGCCATTTTCTCCCATAGGACTTGGTACAAATCAGTGAACGCAGAAAGGTGCCAACGTAAGTATTTTCTGTATAGAATTTTGTTGAAAGGGCAGAACAAAATGTCACTATGGTGTGGCATGGCTGCAGCTCTGGTTCTGAAGTGTGTGTCATGTCGTTTAGGTGTAACACCAAGAGAAGCAGCATTTCTCAAGCTTTTCCCTTCCACTGAATCTTCCTCCTATCTCACATCCCTTCTCTGCTAGCCAGAAAAAGCCGGAAGAGTCTTGCAATGACTGAAAAGCTTGTATGCTGGAGAAGCAGAGTCTATGCTGCCTCCTCTGTGCAAAACTGGGGCTGGCAGGCATACAGAGCCTCCATTCTAGCAGAGCTTCCTAGAGAACACAACTGCAAGGCAAGGCTGGGTTATCTTTCCTGTTGAATGGGTCAGTGTGGCATAATGGACATATACAAATGCCAGATGTCCCATTCCAGTTAAAGGCCTACAGTTAATGAAGACGGGAAGGCAGCACAGAAATCCATTTTGAGATGGATTAATGCAGGGATGCCCAACAGGTCGATCACAATCTACTAGTAGATCCCCGGGAGGTTTTGGTTGGTCGTGGTCGATTGCTGGGTCCCTTTCCTTAGCGTAAAATAGAATTCTGCACAACTGAAGACGGAGTTTGTTTCCCCAGCAATCTGTTGGTGAGTGGCTGTCCCCCTTTCTCCCTAAAAAAAGCTCAACATCTTTGGCCTGAACCCTCCAAAAGGGGGTAGATCACTGCCAGTTTTTAATTCTGTGAGTAGATCGCAGTCTCTTGGGAGTTTGCCACCCCTGGATTAATGGATAGGAAGACAGTTGAGGGAAAGGGTCTTACTTTATAGCTAATGCTACGTGGATGAATGAGGAATGGGTCATGCACAACATAGGGTGCAAAGTGACTTTGCCAGCTCAGAGTTGAGGACACTGCAAAATACAGCATTAAAAAGGAAAGGTTGCCCTTTTAAACTGCTCTGATGGGCAGCTAGGGAGAATGCCAGCTTCAGGGATATTCAAAGAAAGAGAGAGGCTTACAGAGCATGTTAGTGACAGGTGCCACATCATCCCTATGAAATTCCAATTGAATGTGCAGAATTTCTTATGAGTCACAATGAAAATGAGGAAGATAATATTTATAGCATTTTATTTTCAGTGCAGAATGGAATTAATGGTCACCAACTTTCTGATTCTATGCATCTGCATGACGTCATTCACATATGGGCTGGGAGGCTCCCAGTCCTTTTTTGCAGAAACATTGGCTGTATACACACTATACCTTTAAAGCTCATTTGAAGCACATTCTGCCCCACCCCCGAATTATGGGCCCTGTAGTTTACTGAGTTACAACTCCCAGCAACCATTCACAAACCACAATGACAATAATTCTTCGAGGCGGGGAGGACATATGCTTTGAATAGTGTGTACACAGCCCTTATGATGCCCAAGTTAAGCAAGTTAATGTTGTGCTGCTATAAAAATGGTTTGGCTTCTAACTGGTTAACTGCATGAGAAGAAAAGAATTGCAGTTTACACTCAAGGCCTGAGAAATAAAATGTATAGGTGATCTTGAGTTGCCAGTGTGCAAAGAAACTGTCTGACACATAGTCACCTCTTTAGTAACCGTGTCTTGTGAGTTTGGTGTGTGTGTGTGTGTGTGTGTGTGTGTGTGTAGATAAGAGAACCCTAACCAGAAGGAAGACTTTTAGGTTAAAGCCCTCTGGAAAGCCTGTGAACAAAAGGGGTGTTAGTTAAAAAAAACAGGAAAAAGGACAAAGAAACAGATTTCTTTAGAAGTAACTCTCCTTTTGAAGATAATTTCAAAGTATCGTTAAACATCTAACTTGCAGACAAGCCTGTTATATGACATTCTAAACAAGTTTTAATAAATTGTTTGAATTTTAAATTCAAATTTAAAATTCTGGACGGTAGGACTCAAACCAATGGCTTCAAGTTGCAAGAAAGGAGATTCAGGACTAAACATTCGAAAAAACTTTCTGGCGGTAAGAGCTGTTCAGCAGTGGAAGAGACTCCCACGAGAGGTGGTGGACTCTCCTTCCTTGGAGGTTTTTAGCAGAGGTTGGATGGCCATCTGTCAGGGATGCTTTAGCTGAGATTCCTGCATTGCAGGGGGTTGGACTAGATGACCATTGGGGTCCCTTCCAACTCTAAAATTCTATGATTCTAAGTCTCCCAGTCTGTTAGGGTGCTTCCAGACTGTTACTCATTTTGGGTAGGATTCAAGCCCATAGCAGAAATTCCTGTTGCAAAGTTACAGTTGACTGAGAAGTCTTGTGCAACATGCTTGCTTCCCCAGAATGTCAGACTTTTGGCAATAAAGAAAGTGTCGGGAAAATGAAGTGGAAAGTGTGGGATAATACTTGCTTTGACGCAATGTCGCCTAATCTCCCTGCTAGCAAATCAAGCTGATCGCTCAATAAGCAGGTCCTCTGGAAGTGCCCTCAGTCCTGTGCCTAGACCCAGCTACTGTGTGTGGGTGTGCAGTGATATGTGAACAGGGGAGTATTTAGAATTTATTTAATGGTGGCAGCAGAATTCAAAGGAATAAGGTAAGCAGGCACCATCATTGTATAAGGGTTAAGTAGTGGGGATTCTACCTGTAAAAATACAAAGATGGAATGGTAAAACAGGAAGGCTTTCAGTTCTGTATCAGACACAGAAACACACACAGCATTGTGGCAAAATGGGGCAGAACTGTCACAGGTATTTTCATGCAAGGGGATCAAAAGTGATGCTTGCTTCAGGTATGGTTTACTATATGAATGTAAATCTGGCACTGATGGCATTCTCACTCACAAGTTAGGAATGGATGATCTGTCCATTTCGGTCTCTCTCAGTTTACCATTACAGTGGTACCTCGCAAGACGAATGCCTTGCAAGACAAAAAACTCGCTAGACGAAAGGGTTTTTTGTTTTTTTAGCTGCTTCGCAAGACAATTTTCCATATGGGCTTGCTTCGCAAGATGGAAACGTCTTGCAAGTTTGTTTCCTTTTTCTTAACACTGTTAATACAGTTGCGACTTGACTTCAAGGAGCAACTCATAGAACGCGGTGTGGTAGCCTTTTTTGAGGTTTTTAAAGACTTTGGTGATTTTTGAAGCTTTTCCAAAACTTTCCCGACACCGTGCTTCGCAAGACGAAAAAAATCGCAAGGCGACAAAACTCACGGAACGAATTAATTTCGTCTTGTGAGGCACCACTGTATTCCAGTCTTAAATTCAATCTTAATTTCTTCAGCAGTTTGCCATTTTTTTCAAAGATCCTCATGAAAATGCATCATGGATCCATTCTCCACCAGATCAACTCCAACAGCAGAGATGCCCTAGAACAGGGGTCGGCAGACTAAGGTCCGAGGACCGGATCAGGCCCAATTGCCTTCAGGATCTGGCTTGCGGACTGTCCGTGGGGATTCTGTTTGGGCTGTGCCATTCCCCCCCCTGCACCATTCCCCCCACCACCACGGTGGTGCCTCCTCCCTCCCTCCTCCTGGCTTCTCCCTGCCCTGCCTAGAGGAGGAAGGGGGCTGGGTTGAGCTGGCTGGGCGCCATTTTAAGCAGCCCCTCTCCGGAGCCAGCCCTTTCACGCTGCTCATCTTCCCGCCGCCACCCTGGTGCTCCTGTGGGCAGTCCAGAGCTCGCCCTGCTGGCTGCGGGGTGGCAATCTGGCCTCCGCTGCCAGCAGGAAGGCTCTGGACTGTGGGAAGGCCTCTGCAGACCTTCCTGCAGTCCAGAGCTCACCTCGCCACCACGGCAGCTGCTGCAATTTGGCCTCCACTGCCAGCGGGAGGGCCCCCATCCCACCCCCCGAAGCACGGAAGATGTGCCAGCAGCAGGAGGCTCAGCAAGCTGCAATGCAGCACCAAACCCAGGCAAGGACCCCCCATCCAAACAATGACTATCATCAGTGCAGGCAATAAAAAATAATAATTTTAATTTTTATCATCTACAATACTGCCTGGCCTGCCTGGTGCTCTTGCATGGAATGTGTCCTTTTAAAATGCACCTGTGGGTTATTTGTGGGGCCTGCCTGGTGTGCATAGTGTGCATAGGAATTCATACACCCCCCAAATATAGTCCAGCCCCCCACAAAGTCTGAGGGACAGTGGACTGGCCCCCTGCTGAAAAAGTTTGCCGACCCCTAGAAGGCAATTAGCAAATGGAAAACCAGAGCAACCAGATGCTTGGCCATCCTTATGATGAAGATTCTTTGGGCAGAACCAGATGTTGCCCAATTTGCCACAGTGTCGTGCGTGCGCCTGTCCTTGACGCAAGATTTAAACGACGGGGGCTGCACCAGCTCAGCTCTGAGGGAGTCTTCTCAGTGCCAGCTTTACTAATGAGGAAAGTGATTTGAAAACAACATGGCACAATTCCAGCTTGCATCTGTCCTCCCAAAGCGACTTCTCCTCGCCACCCACTCCCTATTTCTGCTGCCAAAGGAGATGATCTAGGATGAGTGGGTAGTGGCACCTGCTTTCCTGAGAAACAGGCATAAATCAGCAAAAGATATGACTGCAAGGAAGAAGGAAGCACCACGTATTTCTCCTTTTCTCTCCACTGCTTGGGAAAATGGCCATGATAACGGTAGCGTTTCTGCAGGCCTATATCCTCAGCTAAACTGAGTCGGGGGAGGGGGGAGAGGCATCACACAACATGTTTTCCAACTCTCTTGTACATGAAATCTAGTAAAAGTGACCATTTCCATGGAAGCACATTTTCCAGGTGGAGTTATTTTTCAGCAGATTCATACTCATGCCAGTTCAGTGGGGCTTATATCCAGGTAAGCATTATAGTATTGCAGCTTTAGTAGGCAGGCTGTGTAGAAATTCAGCAAACAAACCCCCCTTAAAGAAAATCTGAAGCCGAACTGGAAATATAATCCCAGTTTAGACAGGACAGATTGACGGTTCATCCATTTCACCACTGTGGGTTCTCAACTTGAACTGGCAGTGCTTTTTCCACTCGATGGGCGAGTAAAACAACTCGGCAGTTAAATAAATGGACAAAGACATCCAGTGCTTTTGGACTTTTGCCAAAACAAGATATAGAGGAAAACCAGACACTGTAATACAAGTAAGAGTAATGGAAACTTCCAAGCTAAGTGGCAAAGTTGAGAGGAGAGGCACATTCAGCCCATATTTTAGACTTTTGTTTACATAAAAGCCAACTGGACTTTCCCTAATTTTGCATGTGGCAGAATATGGGTTCATGTTACATTGGGCCACTGTTGCACATGAGATTCAATGGTTTAAAGCAGGTATTTCCAGTTCTGAGGAGTCTCTTCTATTCCAGAGAACCTTCTCTGGGGCTGTACTACCTAGCTGGTTTCTCATTCCCCCAGCTAAGCACCCACACCCAGTCCAACAGCTTTCAGGCTAGATTGGAGCTCAGCACCTCTCGTCTTAGAAATGGACAATTACCCTGAGCTAGTGGTTCTAAGCAGGGTTCTGAGAAAACCTGGAGCTTATTTGAAACTTCTCTAGGGTTTCAGCATAAGAGAGTCCTCTTCCTTGAAAGGCACCTTGCCCACCATTACTGATCAGGGTGCAGCTGTAGAAGAATGTTCCAGGAGCACAGTAAGTTTGATTGGAGGCTTAAGACGATTGGATGATACCCAATGAACACTGAGCATGGATCTTAGGACCTGGCCCAAATTACCTAGCAGATAATTTCCCCCTCCCAGTTTTCAAAGAGAAGAAAGTTTGAAAGTCACCGCCGTAGACCATCTCAGAAGGCATCAACCTTCAAGGATCAGGTGATACAATGGTGTGAGCTGGAAGGGGCATGTTGAGCTTAGATGACATCATGTCATCAGAACTCAAGGCTGACCAAGCTCACATGGGCCATGTGAGTTGATCATGTGGACCATCAGTGATAGAGAGATCAAATGGTTCCACAACTGATCTGGGATAAGTATTGTGCTACCAAGATGGTCATTTGTGTGCTGAAATATATATGTAAACAGTGCATTATATTAAAACTGGCATTTAGCAGTGAGATATGAACTAGCTCTTGCTTCTAGCACATGGATGATAGATTCATTAAACCCTTGCAAACCGTGTCAGTATTTGGCTAACTCAACAGGATGATGGCTCACCTGATTACTCGAACAAGATCATGGAAGGCTTTGTCAACATTCAATGGGGGATCCTTTGCACTGGTTTCTATATATGGAATCTGGAAAATAAAGGCCCAGTAACTCTTAGATATGTATATTATTGGGGAAATGGTTTTATGTAATGATTCACGAGAAAGAAAACATTTGATTACACAGTAGGGATTCCATTATAACAAAAAAGGAAGGTGGCTTGCACCGAATACAGAGTTTCATTTTTATTTCCCCAATCTGCCTGAAGACAGTTTGAATAACTAGAAGCTCAGAAAGATTAAAGAGCTGTTCACAGATAGAGCTTATCACACTGATACTTGATAATGAGGACAAGAAGAGGGTGGGTTACATGTTCCAGGGTTTCTGCTGCTACATTTTGTACACTATTCCATGGCAGAAAATGACTTGATAAAGGTGCTCTCTAGTGGCATAGTTGCACTATAACCTTGCATCAGTTTTATACCAGTTTAACTGACATAGTCTTATGTAAAGAAACTTGGGAATGGGTAGTTTGGAGACAGCTTTGCTGCCCCACTCAAAATTACAGTTCCCAGAGTTTTCTGGGGAGAAGGAATGGCTTTCTGCAAAATATATATGTACTTACAAGGAGATCCATATTATTATTACTACTTCATTTTTAAACCACACTTCATCCTGTAACATCCCAGTGTGGGTCACAACATAATCAAATAAAATACAGTAGCACACAACAGAACAGCAGATCCTGGAAAAGGGATATTCAAAAGCATTAATATGAAATATAGAAATTTGCTGCTGATGTAGCCCAAGAAATGATAGTATATTTTTAGAATACATGCAACATCTTTATAGTACAGTTGTACCTCTGGTTATGAACTTAATTCGTTCCGGAGGTCCGTTCTTAACCTGAAAACGTTCTTAACCTGAGGTACCACTTTAGCTAATGGGGCCTCCTGCTGCTGCCGAGCTGCTGGCAAGCGATTTCTGTTCTCATCCTGAGGTAAAGTTCTTAACCCAAGGTACTACTTCCGGGTTAAAGGAGTCTGTAACCCTACGTGTTTGTAACCTGAGGAGTTTGTAACCCAAGGTACCACTGTACCTTATTTTTTTAAAGCCACTGTGTGGAAATTTTTGGTGAAGGCACCATAGAAATTTCTGAAATAAATTTATTCATATATTCCAGAAAAGACATATACTTGGTGGGTTTGGTGTACAAATGGGCACATGTGCATGCAAACAGTCAACCTAGTCATACAAAATATAGTGGGTTTTTTGCTGATGGAAGAAGAGACCTAGCATCTTATGTACTTCCAATAGGCCATAGGCTCTTACAGGCCATTGAATGGTCAAAGAAAACATCATGGAAAGAAACCAAAATGCTTACATTGTGCTTTGCTGCCATTTCCTTTCCTTGCTCCCGGGTGATTTTCCGCAAATGCATTAAGTCTACTTTGTTGGCCACCAGGATCATTGGAAAAGATTCCCTGGAAGAAGCGAATAAAGAGAGAACATCAGTACAAAAACTCGCGGCTTCTTGGGTGTCACATTATTTCTAGTATCTGAAGAAGACAGAAACCACAAACCAAAGCACTTGCTGGTTAATTGAAGAACAGAGCTTGATCAAATCATGACTGAATGCCGTTGTGATCTACCAAAGCTTTTATTATCTTTTGCTTGTGCATTAAATAGCAAATGTACTTTCAGTGGACACCTAAAACCAGTCTAGAAATCTGAGCGTTGGCCTGGTTCACACATGCAAGGACACTGCTTAATTACTCTTCTTGGTCATTGTCAGCAACTAGGAGCTGAATGTATGGACTGACTGCTCGGTTATAAATGCTATTTATTGATGACGTTTATATACTGCTTAACTATTCAAATTTCTAAGCAGTACACATAAAAACAATCCACAGAAAATAGGACAACAAGTCAGTGGACTGGAGGCTGGGACGGCAATTTACATTCAAGGAGGAAATAGTTTCCATTCTTCCTCCCTGCACTTGCAGTCACCCGTGACCCCCCAAAAGCTTATCTGGAGGGTGACTAGGCACTCCTGAACAATGTGGGATGAGGCATGTGCCTGCTGGGAGACTGGGGAATTCGAATTCGAGGGCAACTTAAGGAAACTCACTGAAGGGAACATTTCTCTCCCTTGCTCCCTCCAGCAGCTCTGCCACACCCCCAAATGTACCTGTGTTCAATGTAACATGTGAACAAGCATACTTTACACACAGGCTGGCAGCATAAAACTGAGGATGTCACTTTCAAAGATTTTATAACTGGGTATGACATCTTATTGTTACAAGAGACCCGGGCTAGAGAGAATCTGGTTTTGAATGGCCACATCAGAAACACCAATGCTGTTCATTAAAAAATCTCCATAGGGCAACATGCAGATATTTTAAATATTCTGGCAACATGCAGATATTTTAAATATAACTAATGGGTTAAAGGATGGGTCATAAAAATATAAAGTCATAAAAAATGTAGGAGGTAAGGATGCAAATCAATTCAATGTCTACTCAGTCGAAAGCCATACAAAAAAGTTAAGTCTCTGGAGGGAGGGCTCCAACATTTTTACTCCTCAAAAGAACCCATGGGAGTTCAGAGTACTTGCAGCTCAAAAGCACTCACCTGTCTTTGACTCGGAGGATGAGCTGGTGGAACCTGTCCACATGCTCGAAGCTGGCTTTATCTGTGACTGAGTAGACTATGAGGAATCCATCCCCCGTCCTCATGTACTGCTCCCTCATTGCGCTGAATTCTTCTTGGCCTGCCGTGTCCAGAACTAGGGATGGCAAGGGAAAAGAGAAAGTAGAAGATGCTCAGTTGGCCTGCACCCAAATTGTGTGTCCATACTGACTCTCCTGTCCTAAACATATCTACTTGAGAGCTAAGCCTCCTTTGTATACATTTCCAGGTCTATGCTAGAGGAAGGTGGGGCTGTGCATGGCTAACCCTGCCCCACCTCCAGCCCTCCCTAAAGCTGCACACTGACCAAGAAAGGTAAAAAGATTTTAAGGGTGTCATGACTGCATGCATGTAGGTGCTCCTTATGGCTATGCCCAGCTCAACATTTGGATGTTGGGAGGGTGCAGCCAGGACAGCGGGGTCCAGCTCTCCCCTACATTTGTTCAGTGCATGTGTGAAGTCACACACAAAGAGGGTGGCAGATGTGCTTAGGATGGCAGCCGAAGTCTCCCAGATTATTAGTTTTAGCAATGATGAACACCCCATTGTAACCCAAGAACTAGACTGAAAGGGGGATTGAGCCTTGCAACAGTAAGATTCCCTTCTGACAATCTTCTTCTCCCTTTGCATTACGGATGTACAGCCGTACCTTGGAAGTTGAACGGAATCTGTTCCGGAAGTCCATTCCGAATCACAGCTTCTGTGATTCCCAAAGAATGTTTGCAAACCAGAACAATCACTTCTGGCTTTGCGGCGTTCGGAAGCCAAAACGTCCGAGCCCCAGGGCGTTCGACCACCAAGATAAGACTGTATATATTAAAACTCAAACCCCAGCATTTGAGAACCAAGCTAGACAGGGCATTTTGTCACGTCGTATGTTGTGTAACTGCATTTTGTTAAACACATAGGCAGCAAAGGAGTCCCTGGACCACGGAATAATCCATAGAGTCCAAGCCCAGGGCAGCTTCACATGGTACACTTTTGGCAGATGCACTGGTATATTTCTGAAAAATAAACTATGTTCAAACACCTGTAGTGAAGAGCAGAGCAGAGGCCACTTCTACCTACCTCCATCCTGGGAACCAACAGAGGTTTGGCTCTTTCATGTTCTTATAGAAGTATTTAGCTACTCACTGTTAGAAACAGGATACTGGTCTAGCGAACCCAACGGGCCTGTGGTTGTTGTTGTTGCTTTTTAAAACATCAGTCCCACTGTATGCTTGGTGTACGCTTGGTGAAATAAATATTGCTGTTACGATTATAACGTCTTTGTATTCTTTACCCTGGCCCTTCTGAAACATTAGCTTCTCTCCTTGGCAAGGAGGAGGGGAGGCGAACCCTGCTCCATATATTTGCAGTCTGCGTGGGTCCAATTCTGAGGCACCCTTTGGGGGGGGGGAAATGGTTGAGAACATTCTTTCCTTCTTATAAAAGTTATTTTCCATAACTCTTTGTTGCCAGACGGAGAAAGGCATGACCTCAAGGCTACTCCTGAATGACTGTTCTAAAGCCATTAAGCAAAAGCAAAGCAAAAGCCCAGGAAGAAAAAAAGAAAAAAATGCTATAATTGCTTTCTTTTAATATCGTGCCCTTGTTTCTCCGGCAGACCTTGTGAGTGGATTTAAGTGCCGAGGGATGGCACGTGGTACAGTCTTCTCATGGAACAATGACAATCTCGGAATGCATACAAGTGGAGTTGTTTGAAACTGCCTCGTGTCAAGCTAGCGGGTTACTTGGGAAGCTAGCACACCAGAGAAGGCACCAAGCTTGGCCTTTATCCTGAAATGCTTTTCATATGCAGGGAGATTTTGACATGGAAGCACTTGACCTGCCCCCTGAAGCTTCAAATGGAACAGTTAGAGCTAGCAGGGACTGTGAGGGTCATCTAGTCCAACTCCCCGCAATGCAGGAATCTCAACACTTAAGGGTGTACCACATTTTCTCCTTAAGGTTACCAGACGTCCCCGTTTCCTGGGGACGGTCCCCGGATTTACAAACCAGTCCCCATACAAAATCCATTGAAGTTGAAATTGTCTCCAGATTCACTGAAAAAGATCTGGTAACCTTAAAGAGGTTCTTATGCCTCAGAGCATGTACAGAATGCATTTTCCCCCACTACAAACTATGGAGCCACAGCCAGCCTCTGTATATTTGGCATTAGGGAGCACAGAGGCTCCAGGTCAAAGACTGTGGCCTCCAGGCAAGTTTACACCTCTGTTTTTCAAAGTTAAGCCCTCTGCTGACTTGATATACAGTTCAACATGTTGCGCTAAGGTGATTGTTCCGTCAGTGCAAGCATTTCTGCTTGCCAGACAGAATGACCTCCCTTCTCCTCCCACTGTATACTGTTCTGGGAGTTTTCCCAATTCTCCCAATAGGATTTGGGGAGGATGAGGGGAAAAGCGGGAAAAGTCCTGATGCGCTAGTGGAACTCATTGCGCTTGCTTCTGCTAGGACAACTACTTAGTTGAATTTGGTCCACTGTATTCATTGCTTGGTGAAACGTAAAGGCAGATACAGGCCCCTAGATATTAGCTCCCCCCCCATTAAAAATTAAAAAAGCAATATGTAAGGTATATGCTTACACTATCTATTTAGAGCCCCTCAGATATGATTTTTATTGTGCATTCGTGATGATTTGTGCTTGTGATGGTATTGGGGTGGTTATATATGTTCTTGCTTTCAATACTTTCTGTGGCTACAAAATTTCAAAGTGGAAATACTGTTCCATTTCTAATTAGTGCATATCCCATAATATCCTATTGAAATCCCACAATTTTTTTTTGTACCACAAATGTCTTGGTTTACTTTTCGTCCCTCAAGACAGCAATAATGACACAGCGTTGGGGAAGCATCTTAGAACAAATACCGGTAATAGAGCAAAATGATGTGTGGACGGTCCAGTGTAAATCCATCACTAATGCACTATTGTTGTGTCAAAGACATGTTATGGAATACACTCAGACACAAAAAAACAATTTGGAAGGCTTTGCAATTTCTGTATCATAAAATATCAGAGCAGCATGCAACACTTCTGAATCGCTGCTATGCTAATTTGTGATCTGTTGCTCTGATTCTGCATTTGCCATGATGTGACGGCATACCACATGATAAGAGAAATCCTTAGAAGATTTACAACCAGTGAGGGTTCAAAGAAAGAGAGAAAGGATCTTATTTTGGGGAGAGGGGAGGGATTGATTCTAATACAAAAAAGCAAACATCAGGATTCAAAACTATCCCTCTCCTCTGTAAGGGAAGAAATAATTTCACTTCTGCTGAAGCATGGATTTGGAGTACAAAGAAGAGATGGCAGAACTAGGAACCTGTTCACTGACCCTGGTGCAAAAAGGGCCTGCAGAATAGAGGCAAAAACCTTAACAGTTTAGCTTATTTAGAAGTTGGATTTTAAAACAAAACAAGAAACCCAGGCACCAGCTCCTCAGTGACAGCGACTCTGCAAGCATGAATGCTTTCAGAATGATCGCCGGACCTTTAACCTTCTGGTTAGATTATTCCCTAGCTGTTTTTATGATCTTTGCAGAAGCGAGGCAGACGAACCAGCATGATCTTGGTGTGAAGCAAGAGCACATCTGGAGGTGGGCCAAGCCAAACACAGCGAGAAACGCTGACAGAACTTATGGGAAGAATTTAGGCAACCAGCTTACACGTACTTGTTTAGGGGAAGGCTAAATTGACCCAAGTGGAATTCACTTCTGAGCCAACAGAAGCATACATACTTGTGCAGTTAGTACCAGAGCATAAATGCATCAGGTTGTAATTCTAAATATCCTGGATGATTATGGCGTTGTGGGCATAGAGCCTTGTCTTAACTAGATTTGCTCAAGTCTCAAGGATTTTGATGGAATTTGCTTCCAATCAAGTAGGCTTACAATGCCAGCCAGAAATCAAAAGACTGTGAAGGTACCTCCCAAGCATCCTTTAAAACAAAATAAAATCCACACCTCTTCCTTCCCATTTTTTTACCTGCTCTGGTTCGCCAGAAGCGGCTTAGTCATGCTAGCCACATGACCCGGAAGCTGTACGCCGGCTCTCTCGGCCAATAAAGCGAGATGAGCGCCGCAACCCCAGAGTCGGTCACGACTAGACCTAAGGGTCAGGGGTCCCTTTACCTTTATCTTACCAAGGTGCTGACACTTGGTAAGTAGTTTGAAGGAGGGATGCAAAGTACATGCTGCAACTTTAGATTTGCACAGTTGAAGTTGATAAAATGGATTTGTCACCCTGGTGCAACAAATCCTACGCTGCAGCCCCCTTTTAAAACAAACAAAAAAACACCCCCAAAACTTTTTGCAGTTAGGAAAGTGAAAAGTGTGGAACAAATGAAGGATTAATGGGAAGACATATAAAACACCTTGCAAGCAAGCCAGGATGAATGCTCATTGTCATCTAACATCCTTGCACACAAATCACAATGAATGCCCAATAAAGACTGGCCGGAGCCTAACTTCTGTTTAAGCTTTGTGCAAGCAAATCAAGATGGAGGCTCAATGAACAGGTTGCCTGCGAGGGGCCAGTGCTCAGGTTCTTGTGAGCCAACAGGCTCAGTAGACTTCTGTTCGCCTGCCTTGTTAAAGCATTTTTCTTTGGCTTCAGATTTGGAGCACCAGCACCAGACTGGCCTCTAGCAATCAATCAATCAATCAATCAATCAATCAATCAATCAATCAATCTCTGTAAGCATCAGATTCAGCAGCAAATAGACAGAAGATGTTGGGTGGTTGCAGCAGTGGTGAGAGAAAACAGGAGACTAAAACAAGTTGTTTCATCCAAACTGCTCAGAACAAAGGTGGAATTAATTTAGTGTAGCAAGATTAATTCTTGGATTCCAGCCGTGTGTGCATAAACATTGCATGTATACAAATGCACTGAGTTTGTGAGCAACTGGACAAGCAGCCCCAGGAGAGAAATGATGAAAATAGCTACGTGCAGAGAAAGTGGTAGCGGTTATCAAAAAACATCCCTTGCATAATAATTCACAAGTTTATGAATAGTGCCTGCCTTGGTTACCTTTATTTTCCTACATTGTTCTCTAGTAAAAGTAAAAGTTCAAGAGGGGGTCGGATTTCTTTTCAGACCCATAAGAGTGCTTTTCAAGTGCACATGCCATCTGAAGCAAAAACAGCAATGACAACAACAATGCAAAATGTGAATCTGTAGCTGAGTCGATTTCAGGAATGGCTTCAGTTTGTTTGTGTAAATTTGGGAACACTTTGAAGGGCTGGTGCAATGGATTGATAAAGAGGGTGTTTGAGGAGACGTGGGTTCAAATCTTCACTTCATAAAGCTCATGGAGTAACCTAGAACAAGCCACATTCTCTCCTTCTCTCTTCGCCTCACCTGTTCCATAGCATAGTTGTGAGAACTGAATCCCATATATGCCCCTCTCAGGTCCTTGAAGAAAAACCAGGAACTCAGCATGGCAAACAAATAAATAAATACCATCACTCTCACCTTCATACCACTGCTCAGTCTTGGAGTCAGTACTGAGAGAAATACAGCACAGTGCTAATGTACTGAAATTCGCTCCTGGAACAACAGGTAGGAGAGAACTTCTGAGTTTCTTTATTTGAACTAGGGGAGGGTGTAGCACAGAAGTTTCACTGCTTCCAGCCAGGAAGGCAAAGCATAGCCATCTTGCCTAGTAGCCATTGATAGCCTTCTCCTCCATGAATTTGTCCAATCCTTATTTAAAGTCATCAAAGTTGGTGGCCACCACTGCGCCCTGTGTCTCTAGCAAAATCTACTTCTATCCAAGTGTTTCATTCTTTTTGTGTGTGTTCTTGGCTTGACTTCTGTCTAATGCCTTTTTGTCTGTTGTATTGCTTTCTCTTTCTCTCAGTGGTTTTTATATTTTCTCTGTAGCACACTGCCTAGCAAGATAAACATATTTTTGAATACCTGGGCAAAACACTCCATTAAAGACCCAAACGCCTGTGTGTTCTGGCCATGACCCCCCAAACCAAAACTTCAGTGATTTAAATCATTATCATTAAAATAACTTTCATTTGGAGAAGAAATACCAAGGCAGTTTGATAAATTTACTCTGCATGGGATAAAGGGCAAATCGGAATAGCTCCACTTGATTCTTGCATCTCATTTATCTACACTGAGATATAACATATGCAATCAATAAGATATATGGAATTTATGCACACACAAAAGTTGAGCAGCGTCAGATGAAAGCCCATCAATTCAAAATAGGTGGCTCACCATCTAGAATGGCCCACTGCCCATCTATCTCCGTATGCTTCAGGTAAGAGTCTTCAATAGTTGGATCATAGTCTGGCACAAAGATCTTCTGGAAAAACTGAATGGTGAGGGCACTCTTCCCCACACCCCCATCTCCGACCACCACCAACTTGTACATGGGAAGGTTTTCACTTGGAACAGCACTTGTTGCCATGGTACCGATAGGTTAGAACTGGAAAAGAGAGAGAATTCTTGTGTCACAACAAAACAGCATGCAAGCTTTCGAGTTCTCCAAAACTCTTTGTCAAGATGATGGTAAACAAAGAAACTTGGGGGTGAGTATTGAAAAAAGGTAGCTGGTAGTAAAGCTATGGACCTGGCTCTCATAAGAGCCTAATATGAAACACAGAAGTAGGTAGCAGTCATGCAGATGAGACTTTGCAGGTACTATGAAGGAATCAAGGAAGCCATATGTCTCCCTGAGGATGGCGTAAAAGTCAGAGATGAGAAAATGGCCACTACATGTTTCTCCTTCCCAAAAGGCCATGGTGCAACTCACTCCCACCTATCATCCTACAAAGCCTCATTTATATGTCTGCTACCTCCTCCCATGTTATGTCTTAAGACTCTGGCAAAATGATCTTCAGGTCTGAGTAGGTACATGTTGTAGTAACCTGCCTGATAAAGCACTGGTGTTAATAGGGTTGTATTGTATCATCCAGTCCCAGTTAGCGATCTCACAGCCTTATTCTAGGCCAGGAGTAGCCCATGTGGTTCTCTCCAGAAGTTCTTTGACCACAACTCCCATAATCCCTGGCCACTGGACACGTCGACTTCACCTGATGGGAGTTGTAGTCCAAGGACATCTGGAAGACACCAGGTTAGCCACTTCCATTCTAGGCTAACTGATGTTTCCAGATCCTTTTCAATGCAGCATTTGAAAAGGCTAACTGATGTTTCCAGATCCTTTTCAATGCAGCAATTCTTCTTTTCCCTTCTGGTCAAAGTCAATACATAGTCCATGCCTTTTAGAAGAAAGCTCAGAACCAAAACATCTCATCTTGCCGAAAAAAGAAATAAAAAGTTATCTGGGGGGGGGGGAGCCTTTCTGAGTATGTATAAACTCCTCGGCCGAGAAACTGCTCATGACAATGATTTACAGTATCCATGGTAACCTGTGTGACGTTGAAATTGCCTAATCCTGTTATGAAACCTGCAAGGGGGGGGAACACTTAGATACAACAACAGCAGCTGGAGCTGCCTCGGTGTTCCTCCTTCTCTCTTCCAGATGGTTCTCTCAAAATCTGTAGCTTTCATATTTAGCAACAGCTACAGGATGCTATTGCTGTTTAATTGTGGCTATGAAGCCGATAATAAAAAGAGAGAGAAATGTCCAGTGTTACAGACTAGGCACCAAATCCCTGAACAATACAACAGTGGTGGTGGGTCTGTGCATGGCTTTCCTTAGGGACATGGAGCTCACCCAGTGCACCCAATCATTGCAAACCTGTGTCTCCCAACCTGCTCTCTGTCCCAGCCCAACTGCACAGGAGATGGAAATGATAAATTATCACCAGTGAGCCATTTAGAGCAACCTTGTTTGTACTAAGCCTCTGAACATCGGAGTTAAACCAATCAGGAGAAGCCATCACCTTCCTGCCCCTGTTTTGGAATTGCCAGGGTCCCTGGGGCTGGTCTCCTTCCTAAATCAGACCTACGTTCGTCTAGTCCGCAATTCTGTAGTCTCCAGCGTATTCTGGTTGGTTCTCACATACCAGCCATTGCCCATTTCCCTAGCTCAAGGCAACTTTGCTTGGAGCCCTAGGAAATCTTGTTGCTCCAGCTCAGCTTGGGAGCTTATACAGGAGCAGGAAGTTCCAGAGGAGATCAGGAGAACTCAGAGATGGAAGCAAAACTGGCGAGGGTCAGTCATGACTTGAGGCCCAGATGGCTGAACAGGTGTCTCTCCCCATAACAGCCTACCCCTTATAGCTGGTATGGCAGAGGGAGGCCTTTCTTGTTATCACACCATTGATGGAGATTCGCCTGGTGGTGACACAGGATAGGGTCTTCTCTGTGGTGGTGCCCCATTGTGGATTGTTCTCCTGGAAGCAGTTCTGGTGCCAGAGCTTACAACATATTGGCACCAGGAAAAGGCCTGCCTGTTTGCCTGGGCATTTATGGGACATTAGCTGCAGCTGCCACTGGGAGCTGTAAGGAGCATTTTTATTAGTTGCTGGGCTGAAACCTGCCCTCCAGTTTATCAAAAGATTTATTTCAGTTCAAAAGTGGCTTCTGTTTTTTGGTCTCGTTCTAGTGGTACTTTAGAATTCACTGGGTATGAGGTTTTTTTATTATGCCTTGTTGCACGGTGGCCAAAGGTGGGGTGCGCATGCTCTCCACTTGAGATTTTGTGTGTGTGTGTGTGTACTTCAGCAGCCTTCTTGATCTCAAAAATCACCATGGGAGGAGTTACTTTGTGACATCTTCTCCTGAGCGTTAATGGAAGTGTGGAAAGCCAAGGAGGATGGCTACCAAACGCCTAAGATTGGTGCACTCACTAATACTGTTTAATGGAAGTCTTTCCTTTTGCATTTTATGTACCCAAAAAAATGTTCCACGTGCATTTCTTTAAAAGTAAAAAACCCCAGCAACTTCATTTTAAAACAACCAACAAAAAGCTGTCAGGTGTACCATCCAGCTGAGGTCTTCAGGGAAGGTGAGCACTTAAGAATGCTGCAGAGTACAGACCCCTGGAGAGATTATTTGCAGAACAAAACAACACCCAGAGACCTCCCTCAGCCACCTTGAAAGTAGGGTCAGCTCAACACAGCTCTGCATCCCATCCATGAGAATGTCACTGGCATTTTCTCTCCACCCTTTGAGAATTTTCAGATTAAATCTTTTTTCTCATTAATAGATGGGAAATTGTTTTTTTTTATTATTATTAAAAAAGGACTATTTTTTGGCACACCGCTAGTTTTTATGAATGAATGTTAGTGGATTATTTTTTTTAAAAAAGTTCTTAATTGTTTAGAATGGATTTTTTTTTTGTTAAATTGCATTGAAACTCTCCCTGGGTTCATACAACAAAAGTCAGGCTAAACTATACATTTAATAAATAAATAACAACAAATAATGGCGAGGGGCAAGCTTCCTCGAAAGATGGAGCTTGCTCTCTCTCTCCCATTGTCAATCTGCCCTTGCAATGTGCATCTGCAGCAGACTGGTAGGCAAAGGGGAGGCCAAGTGATGGACTATCAATATTGGTTTTTGCTTCCCTGGGTGTTTCAGCCTTATTAATGAAGCGTTTCAGACCCAGGGATGAATGCTGGAGTGAATGAGAAAGCTGTTCATTAGACCTAGAGGCACAGTCTCTATCTACTTCTATAGTTATTGCCAGCAGCTCAACACATGTCTAGGATAAAGCAATCAGTGGAACTACAGGGATGGTATCAGTGATAAATGGGAAATAAGAAAATGGGCACTTTAGAGTTGCCTTTCAGAATAAGAATGGACAATGACACCCATTTGTTAACTGAGTATGTGTCCTAGATGCACCCCAGAACTTGCTGTGTAATCCATAGCGGTTTCAAGGTAAGTACATAAAGGTACCCACAGTGGACAGATCTATGTGGAAAATGTACCTGGAGGACAAAAGGTTTGAAAACCATTGCTAAGTACAGTGGAAAACTTTGTTCAGGCTGCATTTAAATGAACCAACCAAATTCAAATGTCTTAGACTAATACATTGGTGGAATGCAACAATCCTTTGGATTCCTCTGAATTTTGAGATGCAGATCTTGGCTCAAAGAGGTGGCAAAGTGCATTAAAACACATATTTTAGGATTACATCTGTTTCAAATTGTGTACATCGAGAGAGAAAAATATGTTTTTAAGATTGTGAGGAATATATATCTAACTGCAAGTTTTCACTTTTTAAAAAAAGTAATCACAAATTACTGCAAAAATGGGACAGAATGGACATGTGAACATGTGTAAAACTGACATGGTCTGATCATCCCTAACTATGGCTTGAATGACTATTCAAGTTCGGCTGGTTTATTTTTTAAAAAAACCTATGGCTTATATCCAAAGCAGTGCCAAGTCCCCCATTCCATTAGTGCAAGAATTTACACTTGTGCGCCCAAACTTCCCCCCTCTCTTCTCCCTAAATCTGTTCTTTTGTTTTCCCCAAAGCCCTGGGTGCATATGAGGGAAAGGGTGCGGGGGGAGAACTCTAATGAGCATGTGTTTATCCTTCCACTTTCAAAACAAGGGCAATGACTCCTGCCCCCACTCTCTCACTGCCGCCATTTCTAAAATCCTCACAAGTCAACTTGGTGGCTGAAATGAGAACACTTCTGTACATTTTCCTGTGAAGAGTGAATGACCCTTCAAGGCTGATTCATATGATGCTGGCAATTCTTAACCTCATTTTACGGTTGCCAGCTGTTCTCTCCCCGCTACCCCCCAAATCTCACATAAGGGAACCAGAGATCCTCACCTGATGCCCTTTCCATCTTTGCTGAAAGAGCAGCACTTGCTTGCTTCGCCATCTATGTGGAGTGCGTTTAAGAAGAAACACAGTCCTGGAATTGCACAAAGGAACAGCCAAAGGCCTTTGCTCCTTGATGAACATTTAACAGTTATTTCGGGAAACACAAAATTATAGCTTCGGCAATAAAACCCACGTCACCGTAAATTACTGTGGTAGGCAGAATCAGAGTGTCACGGCGCTGCAAACTTTCCAAGAAGACAGGCAGCTAAAGGGCTGAGTGGAGAGTGCAATTTCACACACCCCTCCTGCTTACAGGTTAATTAGCAAATCTAAAAAGTGTCTGTAGATTTCCCAGGAGACCTGCAGTGTGAGGACAGAAGAAGCTCCTGGGATTGCACTTGCAAAAGCTTGTGGGATGGCTAGACGCCATTTTCATGCTCTTCTTTGCCCTTTTTCATGCCACTTCCAGTTTTGCAGTGATGTGTGCAGTCGCATGTAAAAAGGTAAAGGTAAAGGACCCCTGACAGTTAAGTCCAGTTGCAAACGACTCTGGGGTTGCGGCGCTCATTCTGCTTTACTGGCCGAGGGAGCCAATGTTTGTCCGCAGACTAAGCCGCTTTTGGCAAAACCAGAGAAGCACACGGAAACATCGTTTACCTTCCCGCCGGAGCGGTACCTATTTATCTACTTGCACTTTGATGTACTTTAGAACTGCTAGGTTGGCAGGAGCA